GCTTGCAGATCGAGTTATTCAAGACGAAGTTGTAGCCGTTTCAATGCGGCTAGGTGTGCCAGACCAAAACTACCCTGAGCCTCCTTAAGTTTAGAACTTCCCCTTTATCTTCAAAACCTAAAAGAACCTCTGGGTTAAGCAAAATTAAGGCATGGCTAACAGATTGGACCCTGCAATATCCTCTGGGCTAAGAAAACCGTCCTTTTTTCACGAGGGTAGCACTTCATAGCCAGTGGCTAACAAACCTGTGGCCCTCATTCCGTGATCGAATTGGAATTTAGGAGTTGATTTTTGCAAAGRGGGGGAAACTGGAGAACCCGGAAAACCCTTGAAGCACAGGAGAAAACCAACAAACAACTCTACTCATATACAACAGCGAACCTGGCGGGACTTGAGCTCGGGTCGCATTGGTGAGAGGCAAGCGCTTACACTGATATGCCACCCGCACTTTCCTAATCAACGTCAGGGCACTGGGAGGAAAACTGAGAACCTGGGGGGAAAAAAACAGGGACACAGAGATCCCATGTATAAGAATGGCAACACAGGTTACCCACCTGTCTTCAGAGGAAGAACTGGGTGTTTTCTTAACTGCAGGCACTTTGGGTAGAACAAGTTTGCTTCTTGGTGTTTCCTTTTTAGGTCCTCTACGTATCCGTCTGAAAATAAGGAAAAGGGTTCATGAGAACAGTGGTTTATACATTAAGGTAGACCCTTGCATGTACTCTTCTTTGGCTCCTTCAAGCCTAAAGATAGATAGAGTAGATGGACATATGGATGGACAGAGTGAACAGACAGACAGAGCTATCAGACAGACCAGAGTGGACAGACAGAGTGGACAGACAGACAGAGCTATCAGACAGACCAGAGTGGACAGACAGAGTGNAGAGCTATCAGACAGACCAGAGTGGACAGACAGAGTGGACAGACAGACAGAGCTATCAGACAGACCAGAGTGGACAGACAGAGTGGACAGACAGATAGAGCTATCAGATGGACAGAGTAGATAGACAGAATGGACAGACAGAGTGGACAGACAGACAGAGTGGACAGAGAGAAAGGATTATTACCTTCTAGTATTCATCTCCATTGGTTTCTCTTCATCTTCAGCCAAAAACAAAGGAGTTGCTGCGTTGGATGCACTTTCTTCAGCTGTTGCGCCTTGTGACGTATCTTCTGGACATGGGGAAGGGGTCTGTGAAAGAAAGCAATCATCTTCAATAGAAAAATCTCAGGGAAAAATGGTAGGACATCGGCCCTGTATTGATCAGCATCTGGGCGGCATCTGGGCGGCATCTGGCAAGTCAATGTGACTGATAAACAGGACTGCCCTTAGAGATAATTATTTGGCTAGACTGAGTGCCAATTTTGGTTAGACATTGTCCATTGACAAGCCAGCTTTTTAGCCCTGACCTATATGATTAATGCTTTGATAATCAGGTGATCTTGTCTTGAAGCGCTCAAAGGATTATTTGTTAATCGAGCAATTCCAAAAACCTAGTCTCCTATTTCATAATATCTCACAGTAATCAAAATGGCAGCTGATGACTAATCAAGCCAACACCCATTTTGCTTACTTTTATTGCATGTATGCTTTGTTTTTATTCATTTTAACTGCTGATAGGGCAAGAGGAAGCTTTTCTGGTACACATAGCATAGAATTTTTCAATGTTAAATTATATTTCAGGACATATTTTTAAAAGGTTAACTCAAAATGACTCCATTTTGAAACACTGAAAATGCTTCTGATTGGTCAATTGTAACCAGAAGTGCGTGCAAAAGATCACCTGCAATATTGTATAATATTGACGAAATTCAATTATTCTTACCCTACTACCAGCACTCTCACTTTCTGATAAAGATCTACAACAGGAAATGAATATTTTTAGACATTTCTAGACAATAATAATATAATAAATGAGAATCTACACTGGTTCCACAGAGTCATTCTTAATTCTTCTGCTGAATTCCAATAGACTTATCCCAAATTCACTTGACTGGTCACGAAACAATGGTTTCAAGTCAAGGTTGAACTTGATGAATAAAAGAATCATGTTCAGTCTTGACTTCAAACCATTGTTTTGTGGTCAGTCAAGTGAATTCGGGGTAGGTCTATTGGAAATTAGAAGTTGATTTTTGTGAAGGGAAGAAAATACAATTACCCAGAAAAACCCAGGAGGCAAAGGAGAGAACGCACTCTCATGCTTGCCCGCGATACTTTTTACAGTCATCATCTCATCTGGAATCAAACTATTGCTTGTAAAGCAAGTAGTGTGTTCTATGTACTACACCTTCTCCTTGGTTTCTTCTTCTTTTGTCCTGCATCTGTCATGTCTTTGGCGTATTCTGAAACTAGACATTCGTATGCATTAATAATTAGTAATAATTAAATAATTACCTGACAAGCTTTTAACATAGATGCACAGGTTTAGCGATTATTTTAGAAATACCCTGGGATTGTAGTTGTCTTATTTTTGCTTTCTTTTGATTTAGCACAGCAGCAAACTGAAATATAGAAGAATAAGTTATGTACAAGTTAATAAACAAACTCTGGTCTGATCTACACTGTAAGTCAGGGCATGGCTAACCCACAGATCAAACCCCAAAACAACCTCTGGTCAAGGAAAAAGTGAGGGAGCCCCCTGTCTCCTCCGTCCCTGCTGGTCTGATCTAAGTCAGGGCATTGCTAATGCACAGAATTGTAAATTATATAGCATGTTAGGTTTAGCAGAGGAAGAAAAACCAAAGAATCTAAGAAAAAATCCTTGAATAAGGGAACAAGAGACCCAAAAGAGTCTACTCACACATGGTGCCAGGTCCAGGAATCAAACCAGAGACCCTAGAGGTGAGAGGTGAGTGTTTTACCAACCTTTTCAAAGAGATCTTTTTCCATCTCATCTTTTGCAGTAGTGCATTTTTCCAGAAGCTAAAAGAAATACCAAACACTTAGTGATCAAAAATATGGTGCATTTGCTTAAAATGAATAAGAATGAAACTCCATGAAATATGAATAATTATCATATAACCCAGATCTGCCCGGGCGCGTGCTCTTAGAAAAACCTTTGAGCTGGCGTGAGCAGGACCGTATGGCTTTGAGTGAGCAGGGCCGTACAAATCTGTACAACCTTGCTTGAAACCATTTTATTGACATAATTTGCACCTTTAAAAATTTTTTTATTATTTAGGGTCATATGATAAAATGTTTATTGACTGAGCTAGGTCTGGTCGTACGGGAAAATATTTGGCTCTCAGTCATTTGTATGGACTGAGCTGTGCTCGGTCCGTATGGCATCACCTCGAGCCAAATATTTTCCCATACGGCCCTCCCTCTCAGTCAATAAGTACATAGTAGTGATCAGCAATCACCAGCAACATACATAATATTACAGAAGATTGAGTAATTTTGATAATCAAAATGAATCCTTTCAAAAAGTACGTACTTTCATTGCACTTTTCCTTTCATTTGAAAGTCTGCTATTTTCTGATTTCAAACTAGATATCTCTTCCTGTGGTTAAAAATAGAAAAAAAAAATTTTGAAAAAAAATCTAGTGGAAGGATGAAATAATGAGTAAATGTCTGGCTAACATACCTTATGATGTGTTATATGGTTGACGGCTAGGCTAAGTATCTCAATCATCGACTTACGGCAGTCTTCTTCTTTTGTTAACATGACAGAACCCATCTGAAACTGGAAAAAAGAGGTGATACATTGGATAATGAAGTTTTCTGTCAACAAAAACATGTATCTCAGAATAGGTGTTTTATCACAAATGTAATTTTTTTTCGTTTTTTGATTGGCCCATGGCCATGGTCAATAAGAGGACAAACCAACAAAATACATAAAAAATACATACATCATGTCAACAGTGTGCTTGCACGCATATATATATATATGTATACACACAATGACGTATTTCATATCCCAATATTTTTATTTATTTATTTTTTTAAATATTTTGTTTATGCATATATTGATTATAATCTTCTTTTTATTGCATATTCTATATTTATATTTTTGCCCAATTTTATCATTATCATTAATATTAGGTGGGATACCTGTAAACTAACCTCTTTTAGCTAAGTGTATTTTCCACGTTAAATAAAGTATGTATGTATCAAAAAATTATTTATGACATGTGCAATGAGCTAGAGTGCGTTTGAAACCATTTTAATTTCAAATGTTTTGTATTTTTTTTGGTATTAAAAAATGAATTTCCAATGGTTTGGCATGGTATGTCTTCTTATTTACCATGATACGACGTCAACAGTTAGTCAACATTAGTTATGTCCCCACTCGGCTAAGCCTCATGAGTACATAACAATAAATTTGACCAACTATTGATGTAATATTGTGGTAAATAAGAGAACATACCATGCCAAACCATTTGAAATTTTCATGATGACAATAATGTGCAATCTAACATTAATTTACTACCAACCTTTACTCCATCTTCAAGCTTTTTTTTCCATGAGAACTGCCAAAAAATCATGCGTAATAGGTAAATTACGAACCTTACATGAAACGACTAAAGAAGAAAGCCATACAAGCCTTTCACAACTTCATGTCGTGTAAAAAATGAGCCAGCTCAACTAGAAACCGTGGACAGCTGTTTTGGCCTGTATTGGGCCTTGTCAGCATGGTGTATCTAGTGAGCTGGTAGAATCCCACGAAAAAGTAGTACTAGATTGACGAGGCAGTAATCTGTGTGGGATGGGCTCAGATATCAAATAAGAACATGCGTAATAGGTAAATTACGAGCCTTAGATGAAACGACATAAAAAAAACCAACATATTTGTGTGGTCAGAAAACCTGTGTCTTTGCTGGTGGTGTTTGCTTAATATCCCATCCATCCATCCATTATCCATCATAAATTTACTGTATTCTATCAGGTTCAACATTGGCCATTGTTTCATGGTCACTCAACTAAATTTGGGAAATGAAAGATGAACAAAAACATGTCCGTTGTGTTTTCATACCTGTAGATTATGATCTTGTTTTAGGACATCATAAACAAAGCTTGCTTTATGTAAAGACTGTTGTGTTAGCGCACCAATAGATTGTTCCACATATTYGCCTATGCTCATGTCTACACCCTCGGCCATGCATTGCACTTCCTCTTTTGACACTGATACAAAAGGTACATAGATATTAACAACTGTGTTATTCTACTGTATATTACAACAGCTGAAAACAATTGGGCCTGGCTCGCTTGCGCATTAGCCTGTCTTGTTATTTAAAATAGTGCAGTCCTATCTCAAAGAATCATAAAAGGCACTCAGGGAGGTCCTTGCAGCACCTTTGTCAAGAGCTGACACCAATATCGATAAGAGGAACTTACAAGCAAAACCCTGTTTGAGAGTGCTAATTTTATTTTATTTTAAAATGCCGGTCCCCTCTGGATACCAGCCTCATTGATATATGTGTAMCCCTTTCTAAATAAAGTATATCTGTCTATCAAACTAAATGACTTGTTTTGCTTTGGTGTCACTGACCCTGGCTATGACATAAATTAAAGGACAGTAGTTCTTTATTCTTTCCTTAGAGCACGATGCACTTCTTACACCTCTGCCAAGTACTACGACATGACGTAATCAAACTACATAACTTTGCTCGTCGCTTAAAGATAAGAGTTTAGTAGTGAAACTTGAACTTTCTTCAACTTTCGATGATGAAGATGAGATACCTCTGACTTTGTAGCCCTCAAACTCATTCCTTTTCAGTCAAGATTCGCAAACTTCACAAACCTGTTCTTCTCCATACTTGTTCTCCATCACATAGCGTTAGCTTGAAGCCGTCTTTTCCCTCGTTTAAAGTCTTAGTAACGAGAAAAAATGTTTGATCTTTAGCTTCGATTCTGCACAAATCTTCCATCTTTCAAGTATCGCGGGTCGTACTCTCGGTATTCGCACTGGTCAATCGTMGACCAATCGTCGATATCTTCGTTGATTCGGTTAGGCTTCGGATATTTTCGTATCTCGCATATAATATTCGAATTATACGAATACTTCAATTGCCAAACTGTGTTCACTGGTCCCACGGGTGCGAATATTTAAGAACTTATTAGCAAATCTGATCACTTCTCTTCCAACCTTCTAAGGCCGTGCGGTATTGTATGCACTTATAAGTAGTCTCCCCCGTGCTCCTCCACGACCTGCGGTCGCTCTTTGCCTTCCCTACCCTCCATTGCGCTGTTGTAGTTCTCGTGAGAGCTCCCTAAATTCCCGAATGCCTTTGGCAATAATAATCTTAGAATCGTTTTTCTTATATGTTTATTTTTATCCTAAAATATAAGTGCGCACATGATTTAGACAACTTTCCTTTTTTTATTTTTGGATCTTTTTCGAGGTGCGACTAGGCTGTTTCATGACCCAAAGAATTTTTCAAAATTTTCTTTCCTCTGAAAAATTATGCATCCTAAAAAAATTTTTAATTTATTTATTGACTGATTGATTTAAAGATTCGTACAGAAAAAAAATGTGCCGGTGAGGGAACAAAAGGACATAGAGTCCCCTACATGGTTCCCACATAAACCCAAGATAACTTTTGGTAGTTTTCGGTAAAACAAATTCGACATTTACACTAGATTTCTACAGAATATCTTATCATCAGTCTACTTAAATATTAGATTACCTTACTTGTTTTAAATTCATTTGTGGCGTGTATTTATTTGCTGGAAAATTGTTATCAAATTGAATAAACRGCAAAATTGTGCTGAGATTTTGTTCTCCCATGTAAACGCCATGTAGTAATCCTGTTAAATATTTTAAAATTATGCCGCGAGACCTTATCGGCAACACATCGTGTTTTTATACCTGATAAAATACTCCTGCTCGTTTTTTAACACTACATAACAAAGTGTTACGTTTATATTCAGTGTGTCACCTATATTGTAGTAAAACTATTTTTTTAGCCAAAAATGTATATACTTGTCGCGCAATCGTTAACGCCTCGTGTTTTGTTTTGTTTTGTTTTGTTTTTGTTTTGTTTTTTTTGCGCTACAAAAATGGCCAATTTCGTCGTCGTATTACTGTAACTTACTCTTTTTTAGGCGCAATTCAACTAAAATTATTTTTGGGGGGGAAGGGTGGGGCGGACAACTTTGTAAGTCTCATCAGTCATTCAAGTCTTGCTTGAATTAAAATATCAAACATTTGAATATWTGACCACATTCATAGGAGGAGCCGTTGCTTGTTGAGGGGTTGGGGGTTGGTAGTTGTTGACGAAGGGATAGCTAGGCACGAAGTTCATGTCACCCATGGCGCCATCTTGGTGATCATCATCGTCGCGAATGGAAGCACCGCCGTACACACACTCGGCATAAGAGGGAGGAGGTTCTGTTCAAACAAGACAACAATTTTCAATTATAAAACGGTAATAAGTGAATTGAATCATTCCTTAATTTTAAAATTTCCTCTGGGCTAATCAAAGTCAGGGCTAATCAAAGTCAGGGCTAATCAAAGTCAGGGCACAGCTAACTCATATTAATCCGCGAAACCTGAAAAAGACGTCTGTACTGATCTAAGTCAAGGCACAGCTAAATCACAGAAGATCGAACCCCGAAAAACACATCTGGGCTGATCTTAGTCAGGGCACGGCTAACTTACAGATTAAACCCTGAAACAACCTCTGGGCTGATCTAAGTCAGGGCATGGCTAACTCACAGATCGAACCCTGAAACAACCTCTGGGCTGATCAAAGTTAGGGCTAACTCACAGATGGAACCCTGAAACAACCTCTGGGCTGATCTAGGTCAGGGTACACCTAACTCACAGATCGAACCCTGAAACACCCTCTGGGCTGATCTAAGTCAGGGAAAGGCTAAC